AACAACTCTGAGCTATTAGCTAAGTTCTCCCCAAACGAGCTTGATGGGCCGAATGGCCTCCTCTCGTTTGTAAATTTCTTATGTTCATATGTTCTTATTGATCGTGTCCATTGAAAAGGCCATCTATCCAACGTTGAAAAATCAACCATTTGTGATAAGGATTCAACGTTGTTTCAACACTTGTTTGGCAACTTCTTTATCTATTAATTTAATGTTGAATTAGTGTATGTTGAATCAGTATTGGGGTATGATTGTTTCACAAGTGAATTAATGTTGAAATTATGTTATATCCAGGAGGGCTTTCTAAAGCTTAATAAAAATAACATGTACAAATATTCAAAGTGAAAACAATTTATTATTCAAAACACATTATATATACATTCACAGAAAAATAGCACAATGGTAGTAATTTGATAATCATAAAAACATTGAAGTGCTAACTGACCCTCCCACCCCCACACCCACACCCACACCCACGGCCACGCCCACACCCACTTCTGTTCATTTTCTCTTTGCTCCTCCCTGACATTCGGGTGCATATCAAAGCCATTTCGTCACAGCATCACTGAAGATATGATGGGTCACTTCCTTATAGTGGTGCTGAAGAGCTTTTGATATTGAAGAGAAAATAAGCTATCATTAAAGATTTAACAAAGCTAAAGATTTACAGTTAATTGATTGACAATACATAGCTGAATTGTTTGATCTACAGTTATTAAAAAGGATCAGCATCTCCCTTTTTAGAGAACAAAACCACTGTAAATATAAATTTAAATTGATTATTACAAGGATTTTAATACAAATCTCATTTCCAAAACTGTTGGGAAGGCATGTAAAATGTGGTAGAGACTAATATCCATGACATACCTGTACCATCATAGAACACGGTGTGTTCTAAAATTTATTCCCAGGAAAAATCTGAATATTAAATGAGCAAAATAATTTGATTTGTTCTTCTATGCCAAGGTGTGGTTTAAAAGCAATAATGCCAACACCCATTATACCTGCCTTAGCAGAAATGTTCTTTCTTACTCTGACTGAAAAAACATAAATAAATAAATACATTTATATAAATACCTTATAGCAACAGTTTTTCAAAATTCTGCAACTTACATAAACACAATTCTTTGGTTATCAGTAGCTGAGCTAAAAAAAAAAAAAAAAACTTGCCTAAATAGAGAAAAGGCTATGTTGGTCTGAGTTTTTCTTATTATGGTGGGTTAGTAAAACACAGCAGCTGAATGCCCAAATGAGTTCAAATGAGAGTACAT